GAATTCTGGGAGTTGAAGTCCACTCATCTTAAAGGGGCCAAGTTTGGACAACACTGCTATAGACTAAATGCACTCAGTTTACCTTATTACTTAATAATCATAAAATACAAACTCATGAAGTGAAAAGTAAAATAAACTTCTTGCTTATTGGAAAGGTGTCTTCATCAAAGGCAGCAGGGAAAATACATCCATGGGAGCACTGATTTGCCCCAAGATCGGGCAGGGAGAGTTCGCGCGTCTCTTTTCTGCCCTAATAATCTTAAACCGTGAATCTAAATTGGGGGGTTTGCTGTAAGGGAAATATTAATATCCAAGGGTTGGAATTTAAGCGTTTCAGGATTACTTATGAGATTCCAAAAACGATGGGGAACCCAAAGCATCTACAGTCCGAGATTTCTTTTAGGCCAAGGTTCTTCCTACCAGAGACCCAAACTTCTTACCTTCCATGCCACTGGCCCATGGAACAACTTGATGAAATTTCTACCTGAATGGCCAGCTCTGCAGTAAGGAACATTCACATGTATAAGCCGTTTTCTTAATAGTAAATGCTCTTGTTGATAGATACAGCTGGAGACCCGTAAGTGACATTTTTAAAATCATGAAACCCATCGTTCTTGTAATAAACAGCACTTTGTGTGAGGTTGAGACAGAGAGCCCTTGAATCAGAGGCGCCCTTGGGGTGCCTGGCAAAATCTGCAGGGCGGCAGGTGTGGCATTATCATCGAAGCCCCGCCCCCTCTGCATGCACGTACAAAAAGGGTGGGGCTTGAACCACAATACCGCAGCCGCCATCTTGCAGATGTTGACACCCCCTCCTTGCAGATGCCCCTGGTATTGGCCATCTTCTCCTTTCCTAAAGGAAAGAACCAGGGCTTCACTCCCACCAGGGAAATGCAAATATCCACTAAGGTTTTTTGCAGAGAGCAAGTCCAGCTTCTACCTGGTAACACTTGGGTCACTGTAAGCCTTTTCTACTTCCTCTCTTCTGGGCAGATCCTTCCAACCGTTGCTGGTAAATACCTGCCACCGATAAGGAAGATCATAATGGATCATACTGCAATTATCTACAAAGAGAATGAGAACAAGGGAAAGTTTTCATCTCATCTTCTTTATACCGTGTACCCGGCTTACTGACGTGCTCACTATAAAAGTACTGGCTGACCATCTTTGCCCAGAGAACTATACTTTTGGTCAAGTTTCCAAGCTGACAGATAGAAACAAAAATCGAATGCATCGTTTTCTGGCCATAAGAAGTTTGGACTGCTCTGCGTCATGTAAACCCAAAGGCAACGACAAGGTTGAACTTCACGACCTGTTTTGTTGCGTGTAAAAAGTGTCCCGTTTTCAGGTCCCTACAATAAAGCAGTGAATCGTTGGTTATCAGGCAGTATTTGTTGCATAAACTGGGTTAGTTTCCCAGGAAAAAAGCACCAGCAAACCACATCCATATCACCGCCAAGAAACCTACCACGAGGCCTCTTGGGAGCCTCCAGGAGTCACTCTAGACCTGAGGGGTTCCCCCACTTTCCTTGCCTTTCTCTGCTGCCTCTTTCCCATACACCAGAACAGGGTTTCTCAACCTTGGCCACTTGAAGATGGGTGGACTTCAACTCCCAGAATTCCCCAGCCAGCATGAAATACACGCATCTTAAAGCTTGCTGGCTGGGGAATTCTGGGAGTTGAAGTCCACCCATCTTCAAGTGGCCAAGGTTGAGAAAAACCACTGGAAGAGGTCCAGT